TTGCTCTTTCTCAAAAATAAAAAATTTTTTGAAACTAAAAAAAGACTTTATATTCTTCACAAAAATTAATTCAAGATGAATTAGACACCTAAATGTAAAATGCAAAACTACAGGGGTGCCTGGCTGGCTCAGTTGGTGGAGCATATGACTCTTGATCTCAGGGTTTTAAGTTCAAGTCCCATGTTGGGTACAGAAATTACTTAAAAATAAAATCTTTAAGGGGCACCTGGGTGGCTCAGTTGGTTCAGCGTCCAACTTCGGCTCAGGTCATGATCTCATGGTTCATGGGTTCGAGCCCCACATCAGGCTCTCTGTGCTGTCAGCTGGAGCCTGAAGCCTGCTTCAGATTCTGTGTCTCCCTCTCTCTTTGTCCCTCTCCTGCTTGTGCTCTCTCTCCCTCTCAAAAATAAACATTAACAACAATTAAAATAATAATAATAATAAAATAAAATCTTTATTAAAAAATAAAATGCAAAACTATAAAACTCTTAGAAGATACCATAAGAGAAAACATAGACGAAACATAGTTTGGCAATGGCTTTTTAGATACATTACTAAAGGAATGATCCAAGAAAGAAATAATTGACGTATTCAACTTTATTAAAACTAAAAACTTACACTCTATGAAAGATAACATAAAGAGAATAAGAAGACAAGCCACAGAAAATATTTGCAAAAGACACATTTGATAAACGACTATTACACAAAATATACAAAGAACTCAACATTAAGAACACGAACAGCTCGATTAAAAAATGGGCAAAAGAGGGGTGTCTGGCCGGCTCAGTCAGTAGAGCAGAGCACGTGACTCTTGCCCTCAGGGTCATGAGTTTGAGCCCCACATTGGGCATAGAGATTACTTAAGAAAAATACACAAAAGATCTGGACACTTCAGAAAAGATATACAGATGTCAAACATTCATATGAAAAGATGCTCCATATTATGTCATCAGGGGAATGCAAATTAAAACAATAATGAAATACTACTACACATCTACTAGAATGACCACAGAACAACCTCAAATGCTGACAAGGATGTGGAGCAACAGGAACTCTCTCATTCATTGTTGGTGGGAATGCAAAATGGTACAGCCAATTTGGAAGACAGTTCGGCAGTTTCTTATAAAATGAAACACACTCTTACCATTACAACTGAGCAACTGAGCTCTTTGGTATTTACTCAAATGAGTTAAAAACTATGTACAAAATGTCTGTACACAGAAAACCTGTACACAGATTTTTTTAAATATTTATTTTTAGGAGAGCACAAGTGGGAAAGGGGCAGACAGAGGGGAACAGAGGATCTGAAGCAGGCTCTGTGCTGACAGGCTGACAGCAGCAAGCCTGATGTGGGGCTTGAGCTCACAAACCACGAGATCGTGATATGAGCCGAAGTCAGACGCTCAGCTGAGCCACTCAGGTGCCCCTGTACACAGATTTTTATAGCAGCTTTATTCATAACTGCTACAACTTAGAAGTAGCCAAAATGTCCCCCAGTATGCTAACAGATAAACTGTGGTACATCCAAATGATGGAATATTATTTAGAGCTAAAAAGATGAAATATTAAGCTATGAAAAGACATAGAAAAACCTTGAGTACATAATACTAAGTGAAAGAAGCCAATCTGAAAAAGTGACATACTGTATGATTCCAACTATATGACATTCTGGAAAAGGGAAAACTATGGACACAGTAAAAAGATCAGCATTTGCCAGGAGGTAAGGGTGGGAAAAGATATGAATAGATAAAGCACAGAGGATTTTTAGTGCAGTATAAATACCCTGTATGATACTATAACAATGGGTATATTTCATTATACATTTATCCAAACCCATGGAATGTAACCCATCAAGAATGAATCATAATGTGAACTATGAATTCTGAGTGATTATAATGTGCCAATACAGGTTCATCAATTATAACAAAAGTACCACTCTGGTTAGGGATGTTGATAATGGGGGAGACTATGCATGTGAGGGGGAACAGGGTATTTGGGAAATCTCTGTACCTTCTTATCAGTTCTGCAAAACTAAATCTGCTCTAAAAAGTAGTATTTAA